TAATATTTGATATTTTTTTTGTTATTTCATCAAAATATTTGTAATATAATATTAATATGATACATGAATATAATGAATTATTGTTTATTCGGTCAATATTATTAGTTGRAAAAAAAACATCGTAGTTCACATTGCCCGTAACATATATAAATATATACACATAAATTAATTAATAACTGACCTATGATAAGTTCACCTCTTGGATATGGCTTATCTGTTATCCTGTAGCTACCTTCTTCCCAACTGACTAACATGAAATCATTAACCGTTAGTGGAGCTCCAACTCGACCAGTTGACATATCATCCCCTATTATAATTATTTTTAAATCTGAGTATTTTATATAACTATTTTATTTTACAAAATTAATATTGTACTAACGGCTCATTGCTGATCCACATGAACTAGTCTCAGTTAGTCCATAACCTTGTTGAACGATTTCACACAGGCAAATTTTGATAAGTGTATGAGTTTCTGGTGACAGAGGAGCTCCTCCACATAGGATGAAACGTATACGACCTCCCAATAATGCACTTGTCTTTTTAAATACAAACCTGAAATAAAAATAATAAGTTAAAATAAAATGTATTCTAAGGTTCAAATAAATATAATTGTTATAAATATTTKTATACATATTTATTAGTGGAGTTTGAAATCCACGTTCCATCCATTTTCTTTTATATTCAAATGCAAATTTGAATAACGTTTTTTGTAATATAGTCCCACTAGAAACTTTTTCATTAATACCCTTGTAGATACGATCTAATATGAGCTATATAAACAAATTAACATAAAATTAAAAATAAGTTTTAAAACTACTTGATTTGAAAAAAAAAAGGTACATACAGGAACTGCAGTCATGACAGTTGGTTTTAATACAGCTGCATCACCTTTTGTACCACGTTTGATTTTACTAGATGTATCAATCATAGTTAATGGTGTAGAATATCCAATTCTAATTCCACATAATAAACAAGCAAGTTCTGTAATAAATAAATAAATATGAATTTACATAATTAAGTTAATGAAAGTACATGGTCTAAATACACAGTTGATAAATAGTGAATTCATACAAAATTAAGAGTACGTAACAGTGGAATTTGTTGTCTCCGTCTTACCAGTGGGTAATATAGCAAATTTACACTCAGCAGAACACTTGTAGCTCCTTTAGTTTAAAAATTACAGTGAATCGACATATTATGAAACTTGATGGTAAGAACATTATCTGTGTTTGTACATTGGTTTTTTACGATAATTCAATTTTTAAGTGAGTTATGAGCATATAATATACAATACATTAAAACATTACGTACTCTTAAGAT